ACTATTCGGTGAATCGCCCTCCAGCCTCTGAGCTGCAGGGGGCAATGAGGACCCCGAGCATCGTCAACGGGAGAGCGCCGGCGAAGAACCCGCCCAGGAGGCGGCAGCGAGTGCCCGCTGGTGCCTCTGCGCCCCTGACACCGGGGAGAGGCAGCGCTTTGGGTTGTGTCTTGGGGTTGAGTTTGGGCACAGCCAGCTCGTGTGCGTGTGCCAGGAGCTCCTCACCGAGCTGCTGCCTGGAAGTGGTGCCTTTACACCGACAGAATGGCATCAGCTGCAGCTGGAGTCGCACCAGTAAGTGCCTCTTGCATTTTCTATGGCACAGTACCTTGTATTAGCTTTTTCTTATTTATCTGCCGTCCATTTTCCCATTTTGAAGGATTTGTTTTTATTTTCTTTTGCTCACTAGAAGTTGAAAAATGTATGGAGAGGTAGGGTGTTTTTTATTAATTTTTTTATTTGGGGATCGGGTTTGGTTGTTTTACAAATAAAGACCTGCCAATGGACAGCTACTGTCTTTGTTTTTAGTCAGTGCATGTGTGATTTGCGGAATAAAAGGAACCCTATAACTTGCAGAGTAGTTATAAGAGCAGGTATGAATTTATTCAGAGCTGAGATGCATGGGGATATCTCCTCCAAAAGCACGCACACCTTTTTGATTTGGTTTTCCCTTTTTATCCTTTACAGAGCAGGTTTACACGATACGCCTAATACATATTGATTTCCTAACCCCGCCTGTCTTCACTTCATATTACAATTAGCCCCATACCCCTTTCAGTCCTTTGGCCGCTTTTTGGGACTTCAAATCCGTTTCTTCTGGCTTAGGGTCCAGGAATCTCCTTTATCCTGTGGTGCCTTTGTCTTTGCATCTTGTTTGTGTATTCCAGCTCTTTATCTCATCTTGCAGCCTGACTCTTTTTCCTGTTCTTGTGGATTAGGGTGTCAGGGTCTGGTTTTTGTCAGACACCCCTTTTAAGCATTTCTTCCTAATTCTTAATTTCTTTGTTTCATGTGAAGGACAGGAAGCCAAAGGCTGCAGTTGTTTTTTGCTGTCTCATGTGCCTGTCACTGCTTTTGATCACAGAATCATAGAATGACTAGGTTGGAAGAGACCCTCAAGAAGTCCAATCCAGCCCTAACACCTCAACTAGACCATGCCACCTAGTGCCACATCCATTCTTTTTTTAAACACATCCAGAGATGTGTTTAAAAAAAGATGTGGTGACTCCACCACCTCCCTGGTCAAACCATTCCAATACTTTGTCACCCTTTCTGTAAAAAACCTTTTCCTAATATCCAACCTATATTTCCCTTGGCACAGCTTGAGACTGTGTTCTCTCGTTCTGTCAGTTGTAGCCTGGAGAAAGAGACCAACTCTCACCTGCCTACAGCCATCTGTCCGGAAATTGTAGACAGTGATAAGGTCACCTCTGAGTCTCCTTTTCTCCCTAAACCCCAGCTCCCTCAGTTGTTTTTCATTGTGCTTGCGTTCCAAGCCCCTCACCAGCCTTGTAGCCTCCTCTGGATGCGCTCAAACGTTCTCAATGTCCTTCCTAAACTGAGGGGCCCAGAACTGGACACAGCACTCAGGTCTGGCCTCACCAGTGTCGAGTACAGGGGAAGAATGACCTCCCTGCTCCTGCTGGCCA